AAAAAAAAAAAAAAAAAAAAAAAAAAAAAAAAAAGGCAAGCTACTTTTCGAGTGATGCCATACTGTGATTAAAACCATAATCAGGTACTTTTCCAGCAATCCTGCCTGTCCTGTTCATTTAGGAATTCGAGACAAAGCACGACATTTGAAAAAAGCTGAGACTCCAGGCTGAAAGCAACCATATTTTATGACCCTGGCAGAGAAGAGTTTATAGCGCTCGCCATAAAATGCATCCTCCTCCCCACATCCTCCCTGCTAAAGCTTTGCCCCCCCTCCAATAAAGGCAGTCAAGGAGGCACCACCTTCAACCCTCTTATTAGGAGCCACGAAGTCTGAAGGCTTCGCTCTCCCTGGCTTCCTACCTGAGCGAGGGAGGGCAGGCTGACGCCTTCTACAGAAAAGATCTTGTTAAACTTTCAACAGAGGGCAACGCGAGGGAAAGCAGAAAGGAAGGAAAGAGAGAAGAGAGAGAAACAAATGGGGCTTTTTCTAATCTGTGCCGATCAAGGAGAACCTGTAGGGGTCCTTAAGGAGGTTTCAAGGCGTTCCGAGTGATTGGAAAGTAATCACCGTGTCAGCTTCACCTTTCTCATGCAAAGTGGATGTCGTATGCGAGGCGGATCCTGCACAGGTTTTTTCTCTTCTTGGGTTTAGCTTTTTTTTTTTTTTTACTTTATTTTATCCTCGATTCAGCCGCCCCCAAGGCCCCAGCTGCTGCGGCCCCAGGAGCCGGCGGGGCGGGGGCAGCGGAGCCGGCACAGGCACCACGCACACTCAGCCCCGCTCGGCACAGCGCGGCGGAGCCGACCTATTGCAAACCCGGACCAGAGGGCGGCGAGCGGGGGGGATTCTTCAGGCCCCCCTCTTCAATGGCTTAGAGCTTTCCTCCCCCTCCTCCTCCTTTATTCCGCGCTCGGATAAACCAATCTCCACCTCTCGCTCGGCAAGGAGCGAGGAGCTGCGAGCCGCTGGAGCAGCGGAGGATCCCCGGAGGCGGCCGCGGCACCGGGAGCCGCCCGGGACGGGAGCGAGGGGAGCGGCGGCCGGGCCGTGCCCGCTGCGGACTGCGCGGACACCGCCGGGCCGGGCGGCGGCGCGGGGGGCGGCCGGGCGGACCGCCAAAGTGGAAGCCCGGGGAGCAGAAAGTTGCCGGGCTGCCCGCAGCGAGTTCGGCGCTGGCGTGCGGCGGGGGCGCTTTCCCCTCCGCCGGGCGCCGCCCGGGCGCTCCCCGCGGGGCCGGGCCGATGCTGCCCCGCTCCGCCGGCGCCGCGGCCCCGCCGCGCTCGGGGCCGGCGCTGCCGGGGCCGGGGCCGGGGCCGGGCCGGCCGCCGCTCTGAGCGCCGCGGGCCCCGCGCCGCGCTCCGGCCGCGCCATGGGCCCGGCGGCCGGCGGCGCCGCGCTGCTGCTCTGCTGGCTCAGCGGCTGCTGCGCGGCCATCGGCTCCATGGACATCGAGCGGCCCGGCGACGGCCGCTGCCAGCCCATCGAGATCCCCATGTGCAAGGACATCGGCTACAACATGACGAGGATGCCGAACCTGATGGGGCACGAGAACCAAAGGGAAGCCGCCATTCAGCTGCACGAGTTTGCCCCCTTGGTGGAGTACGGGTGCCACAGCCATCTGAAATTTTTCCTGTGCTCCCTCTATGCCCCGATGTGCACGGAGCAGGTTTCTACCCCGATCCCGGCCTGCAGGGTGATGTGCGAGCAGGCGAGGCTGAAGTGCTCCCCGATCATGGAGCAGTTCAATTTCAAGTGGCCGGACTCCTTGGACTGCAGCAAGCTGCCCAAAAAGAACGACCCCAATTACCTGTGCATGGAAGCCCCCAACAACGGGTCGGACGAGCCACCCAGGGGCTCCAGCATGCTGCCGCCCATGTTTCGTCCCCAGCGGCCCAGCGGCGGCCACGATCTGCAGCAGCACAAGGACAGCCTGAGCAGAGCGTCCTGCGAAAATCCTGGCAAGTTCCACCATGTGGAAAAGAGCGCTTCCTGCGCGCCGCTCTGCACGCCAGGGGTTGATGTTTACTGGAGCAGGGATGACAAACGGTTTGCTGTCATTTGGATTGCCATCTGGTCCATCCTGTGCTTCTTCTCCAGCGCTTTCACTGTGCTCACTTTTCTCATAGATCCTCAGCGTTTCAAGTACCCCGAGAGACCCATCATCTTCCTGTCCATGTGCTACTGCGTCTACTCGGTGGGGTACATCATCCGCCTCTTCTCGGGCGCCGAGAGCATCGCGTGTGACAGGGACAGCGGCCAGCTCTATGTCATCCAGGAGGGGCTGGAGAGCACCGGCTGCACCATCGTGTTCCTGGTTCTCTATTACTTTGGCATGGCCAGCTCCCTGTGGTGGGTGATCCTGACCTTGACCTGGTTCCTGGCGGCTGGGAAGAAGTGGGGGCACGAGGCGATCGAGGCCAACAGCAGCTACTTCCACCTGGCGGCGTGGGCCATCCCGGCCGTGAAGACCATCATGATCCTGGTGATGAGGAGGGTGGCTGGAGACGAGCTGACAGGGCTCTGCTATGTCGGCAGCATGGATGTGAACGCCTTGACGGGGTTTGTGCTCATTCCTTTGGCTTGTTACCTAATCATTGGCACTTCTTTTATTCTTTCTGGGTTTGTGGCCCTTTTTCATATCAGGAGGGTGATGAAAACAGGTGGAGAGAACACCGACAAGTTGGAGAAACTTATGGTCAGGATTGGTGTCTTCTCAGTCTTGTACACTGTGCCTGCAACTTGCGTGATAGCTTGCTATTTTTATGAGAGACTGAACATGGATTATTGGAAAATAGTGGCAACTCAACAGAAATGCAAGATGAACAATCAGACTAAAAATTTAGACTGCATGATGAGTAACTCTATCCCAGCAGTAGAAATTTTTATGGTCAAAATTTTTATGTTATTAGTTGTGGGCATTACTAGTGGCATGTGGATCTGGACTTCCAAGACTCTTCAATCCTGGCAAAATGTTTGTAGTCGGAGATTAAAGAAGAGAAGTAGGAGAAAACCTGCAAGTGTTATTACGAGTAGTGGAATCTACAAAAAACCTCAGCATCCACAGAAAACTCACCTTGCAAAATATGAATCAACATTACAACCGCCCACTTGTGTGTGACCAGGTTTTAGAAAAGACTGTATCTCACATCACAGACTTACAAATGTCCACAGTAGCAGTCAGAAATTAAAAAATGAATGGTGCTTTTTTTTTGTCAGAACATTTTCATATCTCAAGGCACAAAAATGTATCATGCTGAATTCAGGACCTGGTGAAAAACTGAAGGTAAACGTACTCATGGAAAGGTTTTATGTGAAAGAGATATTGTGAATTAAAACAGTCTGCTCTGTTGCTAATTTGTAGTTAAGAATCAAATCCATCCCTCAGATTAAAAAAAAAAGAAAAAAAACAACGTAAAAACCAAACACAACAACCAACACTTATTTAACTTCTTCATGTAGCTGGGCTGGATTTTCTTCAGCTCTCTGAGTAACAAGGTATAGCCAAGGTTTGTGGAGCAGTGGTTTGATTTTAGAAGTGCCCAAGTGAGCATTGTCTCTCCAGGGACACAGAGGAGGCCAGTCCTGAGCGAGGATGCTCTCTGGGAAAACAACCTCCGTGCTAACTTCAAACCCTCCACAACTCCTCTCAGCCCGCTGGGCTTGGAGTGCCTAAAAATAGGCTCAGTCTATAATGCTCACCAATATTCTTTCACCAAAAGAGAAACTTCCTGCACCAGACACAAACTTTGTGAATAAGAATAATGTGCAATACATTTTTTTTTCTTACCATGACATGAAAAGAGAAACAAGTATTTTGCTGTACATAAAGACAACAAAAGAAATCTCTTAACAAAAGAACTAAGAGGTCTAGTCCTCAGAAACCCTTTAGTGTTACATTTTGTGGCTTTTTAATGGAAATCAAGCCAATGTTATACACGTTTGGACTGATTTGTGCAAAAAAAAAGGGGGGGATCAATTCAAAGAGACCCAAAGGGCTTATTGACTCTTTCTATTGTTAAACAAATTCTCACTATGAATAGATCAAGAAGCACTAGATTCTGCAAAGGGAAGCTTTGTATAGAGTGATGCTCTTTACTGTGCTGGGGGTGCACGGTTCTGTGCTGTATATATTTGTAATATACAATTATTTTTCATGCTCCACTATTTTATTAAAAATAAAATATGTTCTTTAGTTTGATAATTTTGTGTGTTCTAAACTTTCTCTGATGTGCTTTGCCGTTAATAAACTTGTTTCCTGGATCGTTTTGATAAAAGCACACTTTGAATATATCAAGTCTAAATAGAGGGGACAGTAATTTACTCGAAAGAAATTGCAAGGTGAAATGGAATAAATGGATTTTGAAGGTGCATATTCCGGTGAGCCTGTGCAGCTGAGGAAGCGGGATGGCTTTAGTGATGCGAGAAGCTGCGGCGGTGTCAGCAGTGTTTACAGAGCGCTGGCATTCCAGCAGGATCCTCGGTGAAGAGCCTTTAAAATGTGCCTGGGCTGTTCAAGATCGCTGCCTCGCCTCGCCCAGCGGGAGCGCCAGCCCGTCTCTACCCTCGGGGAGTTCCCCGTACAACCCCACGGAAGTGTCCCGCTGGTGGCCACACTTAGGGGACACCGGGACACACAAATGCAGGGTTTGAATGCCGCCTCAGCGAGTTACCCCATGAAGCTGGAATTGTAAATACATTGTCGAGAAGTTTTTAGTGGAGCGTGCTTTTGTGTGAAGCTCAAGTTTCCCCTGCAGTTTTGCAGGGGGCCAGGCTGGCTGATGAGCTGGGGAGGCAGGATGGAACCTCCCTGTCTCACCCACTGCTCTGGGAAAGCCCTGGTCAGGATCCCATCCCAGAAAGGACAGCACCTAACGGGAGAGTGGCCATCCTTGTGACACTCATGCTGTGCCTGGGAATTTTCCAACAGAAGGTTCTTTAGCAGTGGTTTGGTTTTTCAATTTATCAATGCAGTGTGGCACTTAAATTCTTGCCTTTTTGTACTCTTTTGAAGTGTTCCCAGCAGTGACGAGGAACTTGAGTGGCAGAAATGATCTTGCAGGTATTATCAATAGTCTTCATGTCTAAAGTGCACATAGATAAAGCAGTTTTGTTACAAAATTCAGCTTTGGAGGAAGAGAAAAGATCTGTTTTCCCTTTTTGTGTCACTGTGCCACTCTTTGACACAGGGCTTTGAGATGCCCTGGAAGTTAATCCTGTCAGAGGACACCGTGCTGCAGCCAAAGCAGGACATTGCACTAAAGAATCCACTTGTGAAACTACTGAATAAATGCCTGTGCATCTGTAGGTGCTCTGGCTAAACCACTGGTGCTGAGAAATAGAGTTTTAAAATGACCTGTGTATTGCGGATTGCTGCAGCAAGGCTCCAGGTGTGTGTTTTGCTTGTGTGTGCCACCTC